ATTCCTTAAAGGTTAAGATAACTTTGCTTCCATAACCAATCCCTACTCCCCCTCTGTCTCCCAGACCCTGGTAACCAATATTGTGCTTTCTACCTCTTTACCATAGACATCTTAAGATTCAGTGTTTGTCTTTCTTGGCCCAGCTTATTACATTTAACGTAATGTTTTCCAGGTTCATCTGGGTTGCTCCACATGACACTTTCATCATGTTGGTGGCCGAAGAACATTCCCTATTGTATACATAACAAGAGTTTCTTGATCCCTTTATCTGTGGATGGACAGGTAGGTTGAATGTATACCTAGTAGAGGGAATGCTAGATGGTATGGTAGTTTTCTTTTCTATTCTTTGCAGGACCCCCCAACTGTTTTTTACAGCATTAATACTAATTTACGTTTCCACAAACAGTTCCCCTTTGTGGAAATTCATACTAGAAGTTGTCTTTTTAAATATTTTAATCTGTTTGTAATGTTCATTCTAGTTGGAGTGAGATAAGATCTGAGTGTGGTTTAGATCTTCATTTTTCTCATGCGTAGTAATGGTAACTGCATTTTTGCAAAGGTTGCGTCAGGTTCTTGTCTGCACAAATATCTCTTCAGGTTATTTGGTTTGGTTATTTTTCTGCTTTTTTTTGGCCAGCTGGTAGTGTTACCGGCTGGCTTGTACCTTTTCAAAAATAACTCCTTATCCAACTGAATGTTTGCCTAAATTTTCTTATAACTTTTGGTATGCCTTTTCATTTTGTTCATTGTTTATTAGGCACAAACTCTTCAGTTTGACGTGGCCCCACATGTATAATTTCTTGGTTAGCCGTGCTGTTGGTTACTAATCAAGAAAAAACAAAATCACTACCAAAGGAGTCTATTGTCCATGATTTTCTTTTCCTTGTATTTTTGTTAGTTTTTGCAAATCATGCGCATACATCCAAGTTGCAATAAATACACGCACACCCGAGGTTGTCTTTATGGTTGCAAGTTTTGTGTATAATCTTTCATCCTTTTTAGTTGATTTTTGTGTATTTCATACCATAAGCGTCCTGTATTATTCTTTTGCATGTGGATACCTAGTTTTGAAAACCTTTCCCATTGCGTCAGTTTGGTAGTGTTTTGAAAAATGTGTTCTCTCTATATAAATTTGTGTTTATTATTGAACACCCTCATTTTGCTCACTGGTCTGTATTTCTCTGTGTTTACCAGTGACATATGGGTTGGTTAACTAGGGATTTTCATTTAATTAGAACTCAGGGAATGTGATACATGCCACATGGTTTGTGTTTCTCAGGATAACTTTGGAAATGCAGGGTGTTTCACATTTCCATGAGAATTTTGGCATTGTTTTCTTTATATATCTTAAAACACCATTTGGCATATATAAATGTATATAATTAGAGGGTACACGGAAGATTTTGAGACGTGTATGTTGAGTAATCATCAAATTGGGTTATTTAGCATCTCTTCACCTCGTATAGTTAACAATTTTTTTGTGTGGTAACAACATTGAGAATATTTTCTTCTAGCTACTTTAAGGCATATGATACATTTGTGTTAAGGCTAGTCACCCTGCTGTGGAATAGAAGACCAGAATTGATAACTCTCATGAGGGTAACTTTTTACCCATTACTGATTCCTTCCCAGATCCTCTCCATCTTCCCAGTGACTTCTAGTAACCCCAATTGAACTTTCTGCTTCTAGGAGATGAAGATGTTTTCAGTCTGCATGCCTGAGATGGTGTGGAATGGGACTTTGTCTACCAGGCTCATTTGTTGGACCTGATGTTCTCCAGGTTTCTTCATGTGGCTGCAGGTGGCAGGATTTCTCAGAGCTTTATGGCTGGAACATATTCCGTGGTGTATCTGTACAGCAGTTTCTTCATCCCTGCAGCTGTGTGTGGACGGGTAGGTTGGTTCTGTACCTTGGCCACAATTACAAGTTCCTCAGTAACCATGGAAGGCAGATAGCTCTCTTCAGCCCAGGGATTTCAACTGCTTTACATGTGGAACCAGTGGTGGGGCTGCAAGCTGACATGGTAGTTGTACTGTGAAGTTTTTCAGGAACCTCCTGCTGTTTCTCATAGTGTGTATACTAGTTTACATCTCCACCAATAGTGTTGAAGAGGTTACCTTTCTGTAAGTCTACACTGGCTGGCACCTTCAAAAATTAGTGTTTTGTTATTGGTAGTATTTATAGTGAGTTGAAGGAGACAGAATGTTAGCGTGGCTTTCATGGACATTTTTGTGAGTATTCGTGATGTGGAGAAAGTCATTTGAGAAATCCCCACGTTGCTTTCCATGGTGTCTGAACTGGTTTGCATTTCCACCAGCAGCAGAGCAGCGTCCCTCTTCTCTGCCTCGCCTGCATTCGTTCTTGCGGACCGTGTCCTAATCGTCATTCTGGCCAGTGTGCAGTACTATCTCGTGGGCCTTTTGCTTTGCCTTTTTCTGTTGATGACTGAGGTAGAGAAATGTTGTCATGTCTGTTGGTTGCTGTAAGCCTTCTTTTGAGGTACATGATTTCCTGCCTCTTGCCCTTTCTTCATTGAGTTTTTATTTTCCTGATTGATTTAACATCTTTAAGGTAGATCCTGGATATTAGCCTTCATCAGATGCATGCGTGGAAACATTTTCTCCCGTTGTGCAGGCTGTCTGTTCACTCTGTTGGTCATTTCTTCTGTGCAGCAGCTCTTCTGTGTATTAGGTGCCACTGGGCAATAATTGTTTTAGTTGCACTTGCTTTTGGAGACTGAGACACATCCATGCTGTGCCAAATCCTCTGTCAGGAAGGGTGTTTCTAGGTGTTTTTTTTTTTTGCAGGCTTTTCATATGTGAGGTCTTGCATTTACATCTTTCATTCATCTTGAGTTTATGTCTGTACACCGTAAGACACGGGGCCCACTGTTTTTCTTCTGCAGCTGGCTAGTCATGCCAGCGCTATCTATTGAAAGGAGGGAGTCCTTTCTCGAAAGCTTATTTTTGTGGATTTTGTTGAAGATCAGATGGTGTTAGGGGTGAGGGTTTACATCTGGGTCCTCTAATCTGTTCCACTGCTCTGTGTGGAATGGGGTCCCTAGCTTTTCAATGAAATTTAACATCGGGAAGTGTGACACAACTGAGGTAGTTTGGATTTCTCAGGATTGCTTTGGAAGTTCAGTGTGTTTTGTGGTCCACATGAATGTTAGCATTGTGTATTTAAATCGTTTTTTAAAACGTTGGTCATATAGTAAAGGTATACAATGCGGGGAGTTAGAATGGGGCATTTTGATTAATGCAGACACAGAGGAATGATAAAATCAGGATATTTAGAGGCTCTATTATCAGAAACAGTTAATTTATTTGCTGTGAAAACATTTGGAATCTCCCAGATTTTGTGAAAAGGGTGTGATGTTGTGTTAGCCTCTGGTCACTTGACTGTGGAACAGCGAGGAACAATTCATTCCTCTCATCTAAGTGTAACTTTGTGTCTATTTCTGACCTCTGCCCATCCCCCTTCTTCCTTCCAACCTTTAGTAACTATTACTGTGCTTTCTAGACCTGTGCAGTGAAGCCTTTTATTTTGGATTCTAAATTAGTTTTTCTTTTTCTGCCTGTCTTAGGCCATATACCATGATGTCCTCCAGGTTCAACAGTGTGGCTCCAAATGATGAAATTTCATTCTGGTTTTCTGGTTGAAGACGATTCTATTTGTGTACATCCACCAAGTATCCCTTCATCTGCGGATGGGCAGGTAAGTCTATTCTTTGTGTTGGCAATGGTGAATAGTGCTGCAGTCCACATAGGATGGCAGATGCCTCTTGCATGGACTGATTTCTTTTGCCCTGAGAGTATACTTAGTAGTACACTTGTTAGATGAAGTGGTAGATATAGGTTAAACTTTTGGAGGAACCTCCCACTGGTTTCTGTAGTTTGTGTACTATTAACGTTCTTACCCAGTGAGTTCCTCTGTGGAAATTTACACCAGCATTTGTGTCTCTTTTAATGTATTTTATTGTTTTGATAATATCCATATGAATTATAGTGAGATGATGTGTGTTGTTCTGATTTACATCGTTCTCATGATTTGTGATGTTATCTAAGTTTTTAAAGCTTGTCTGCAATGTTACGTCTTCTTTGCAGAAATGTCTATTTAGGTTCTTTGGCCCCATTTTGTTTAGTTATTAGTTTCTCTTTTGTGTTTTTGCTAGTAAGTAGTGTTTGTTGCTTAGACATTTTGAAGACAACCTTTAATCAGATGTAGGTTTGCCGAAACCTTTCTTGTAAACTTCAAGATAATTTTTTATTTTATTTATGGATTTTTAAAAAATCTGCTTGGGCACAAACTCTTCTAACGTATGATGCAGTCCCATATGTGTTTGTTTTCTTGTTGTCCTTTGATGTAGGTGACTGATGAGGAAAAACAGAATCCTGACCAAAGTAGTCCATCACCTATGAGTTTTTCCCCCTGTATTTTGTATTTTGTTTTGACATACTGTGAGCACAGATCCCCATTGACCTAAATGTACCCACACCATATGTCTTCTCATTGGAAGAGTTTGATGCATTCAACTTTTGTTTATGAGTCTCTAATTCATTTTGAGTTAAACCTTGGTCTTTTTACACAATAGGGGTTCTGTTTTACTTACGTAGGGTTATCCAGTTTTCAAATCCATTTACTAAACAGATTTCCCCTTCTTTATTGTGTCTTTCGGTGTTCTTTTACAGAACGTGTAATTTGGGTTTGTGATTGAGCTCCCTCATTCTGTCTGTTGGTCTGGGTTTTTCGGTTAGTGCCAGTCATCTATTGTTTAGATAACTGGCTTTTCAATATAATTTCAAATGGAGGACAGTGATGCATTCCATGTACTTTGTATTTTCAGGGTTGCTTTGAAATTCAAGGTGTTTCATGGTTCCATGTAAATTTTATCATCATTGGTATCCTTTTTTTTTTTTTAAAGAAAAAGATTACCATAGAGTATATGTATATAACTAGAAGATACAGGGGCCATTTTGATATGGGTACACCTAGCATATTGATTAAATCACAATATTTAGCATCTATGAAGTCCTCTAGTCCTCTAGGTGTTATTTGTCTGTGGAGTTGATACTCAGAATCCTTTCCAGCTATTTGGAAAATTCACTACAATATTAACCCTGGTCACCCTGCTATAGAAGAGAAGGGCAGGACTGATCTGTTTTCTAAGTGTAACTTTGTACCCATTACCAATCCCTGCCTAGGGCCCCCTTCCCCACAGCCTCTGGTAACCACTGTTGAACTTTCTACCTCTGTGAGGTCAAGTATTTTAGATTCGACATGCATGAGATCATGCAGTATATGCCTTTCTCTGCCTGGCTTATTTCATTTAACATAGTGTTCCTAAGGTTTTTCCATGTGGCTGCAAGTGACGAGATTTCACCCATTTCTACGATTGAAGAATATTCTACTCTGGATGTATATTGCAGTTTCCTCGTCCCTTCATCAATGGATGAACAGGTAGGTGCATTTCCTATCTTGGCTATCGTGAGTACTGCAGTACGGAGGGCAAGGCAGGTATCTCTTTCACATAGGAATGGAATGATGGCTAGATGAAATGGCGTTTTTACTTTGTTTGAGGCACTTCCAGCTGTCTTTCCTAGTGTGTGTAGACATTGACATTCCCACCAATAGTGTATGAGAAGAGTTTCCCCTTCTGAAATTCTATACTAGTTGTTTCCATTGAAAACTTTTATTTCTGTTTTAGGGAACATTCATTCTATGTGGATGGAAGCTGTATCTCAGTGCAGTTTTCCTTGACATTCTTGTGAGGATTAGCACTTTTGAGAAACTTTTCTTTTCCCTGTGAGTCAGTTTCACATCTGCTTTGCAAACACGTCTATTCAGGTTTTTTGCCCAGATTTAGCTTGGGTGTTCGTTTTTGTTCCCCCCACATGGTAGTGTTAGTTTCTGCGCATATTTTATAATGAGCCCTTTCAAAGACAGGATTTTCCATAGTTTTCTTTCAGTCTGTGAGGAACCTTCTCTTCTGTTCATTGTTTTCTTTTTGCAGCAGAAGATCCGATGTTTTCCGTAGTTCCACGTGTTTACATATTAGTGGTGACTTCTGTGTGCAGTTAAAGTTAAAAACAGTGAAAAAGATTGCCAATCCATGGGATTGTCTATGGTTTTTTTAATTCTAGTTTTTCTTTTCTTTTTATATTTCACATTTTGCAACTTGTGTGCATAGATTAGTCTTCTAAACTATGTGCTTACCATTTGTTTCCTGAGGGAAGTAAATGGTTTCAAGATTGAGTTTAGGCCTTCAGTGTCATTTACATTGATTTTTGTCCCATTTCACTGTTTTTCATGTGGTTATCCAGTTTGCTCAAAATCATGTATTATTTTCCCATTGTGTCTTTTTGTGTTGTGTTGAAAAATGTGTTCAGTGTGCATTCATTTGGGTGGCATGTGGGACCCCCTCATTCTGTTCATTGGGTAGCCTTTCTATTTTTATGCCAGTGGCAGGTTGTCTGGGTAAATAAAGGTTTTAGTTGCTTTATCATTATGCCCACTTAGTACCTTTAGTTTCTTGTGTATGTTAGATAACAGTTCTTTTGGGATACATGATTTCCTATAATTTTATCCCAGTCTGTAGGGTGCCTTTTCTTTGGGTTCATTGTTTTTTCCTTGTTTATAAATTTTAAAATTGTCCTTTGGGAGCAGATGGAGCTCTGAGCAAATTGTGCCCGGAGCTCAGAGTAGATGGAGCAAGATGAAGCTCAGAGTAGATGGTGCTTAGAATAAGATGGAGCAGCAAGCATATGGTGCCCAGGGCAAGATGGAGCTTCAGTGATTGTAGCTGAGAACAGAAGGAGCACGCAGAAGATGTTGCTCCCAGTAAGATGGAGTTCCAAGCAGATGGTGCTCAGAGCAAGCTGGAGCTCCAAGCAGATGGTGCTCAGAGTAAGATGGACCTAAGAGTGATTAGAACTCTGAGAAAGATATTGCTCTCTCCTGAGGGTGCT